AATATTAATACTAAAAAAAAAAAAGAAAATTACGAGTCTACAATATCTCTCATGCGGTTAGTGAAGCTTAATACTTCTGTTATTACACGGAAATACTACATGCATTTAACTACGCCCCTTGTATATTTATTAAATCGCTTCTAAAATTAACGTTGGTTATAATTTTCTCAATATTTTCGTAATTTAATTAATCAAACAGGTATATATACAGAGGCGGTTCCAGAAATATTTGTTGGGAGGCGTCAACATTTTATCAAAAATATGGACAGTATTTTATTTATTTTTATAGTTTTTTCTGGTACCCAGAGGAAAAGTTCCTAATTCGATTTCTCAACAACACAAAATTTTTAATATCACTGAAGTATTAAACCACCAGTCCTAGACCTCTAGCTCTTGTAGGGAGGGGAGAGGGTCATTTCCACACCTCTTCTGGATCCGCCACTGACATAGATATTTAAAAGCAAATCTGCGCTTTTCCCTTTTAGAAGTTTGTTAATTAAAAAGTCGACATAAATTAACAAAACTGGACGAATTCAAACAAAAGAAGATATTAAACTACTAGGTATTTCAGTATGTACGTATATTATTGAGAGATTGCGTGAGGACCAACCATTACCCTACAACATACGGAACTTATTCTGTCTTTCGTACTGCATTATATTATAAATAGGCAAATAAGACGAAGCATATGCTATACACCAGAAAATGTTAGTTATGACTTCTGTTCATCCTATTTGACTATGACCATGTAACGCATAAATTTCGGGGGTAACTTATATCGTATTTTCACTAACTGTGTGTACCTGTTCGACTGGCTTGTATAAACTATGTCGATGCTGTAAACGCAATTTCTCAATAATTTTGAGAATACAAGGTGTTCTGCTTCGAAAAATAAACAAACGAATAATGTGTTGCCTAACCTTGTCAAACTTTTATATTAAAAAAAAAATCACATAAAGTGTAAAACAAATACAACCTCTTTAATTTCATAATTTAAAAGGCAATAAAAGGAATAAATAAAATTGACGATTCTATAATAAAATAAGAAATGCCCAACGTGTTTGAGTGACTTATAAGCAAAAGCAAATTTATATCTGTGATGAAAACGTATTAAGAAAAAATAAAATAATGATTGGACTCGTTACCAAAAATTAAATAAAGAAAATAAAAAGGGAAAGCACAGGATTGTGAAAGGATGTGATTGGGAATGCTAAAAGCATAATTAAATGTTAAAAGCACGACTTACCGTAATAGTCGGTTGCGTGAGCTAGGAAAGGAATGAATAAAAAAAATTAATAAAATGTAGAACATACCATTTTGTATGTAATAAACTTATAATGTTTTGATGAATTACCTTACTATTAATCAGAAATGATATTTAAAACGTTCTCTTTTAAATTTTTGATAAAATTATNAATAATAAAAAAAAATAGATTAAATAAAAAAACTTAAGAAACATCTGGAATGCTGCTTTTAACTTTACGATAAAACGATTTTTATCCTATTAAGAGCGTGGATGCTAACTACGTTTCTTGTGCACACAAATAAAACATATAATGACAATTTATAGGCTAAATAGACAAACTGTGTCAAGTGCATTTTTACAAAATACATACGTTGAAAATTGTTTTGTATTTGTACTGTATATTACATGCGTTTTTATTCTCGAGTGACTATAATATAATTTTCGATGTATCCAAATACTTTTCCTAATAAAAGTTGGTTTGTTCATGCATTATGTCAAACAGTTTTACATTGACCTTTCTTTATGTATATACGTATACCTTTACGAGGTCTCCACCAATCCTCCATATAATCTTTAAGTGGGGAAGAGGATGAAGAAGACATTCCTTGTTAGCATCAAATACAATATTACGAATAGAAATAATTATCAAGAGTTTCATTATGGGCTACCCAACGATTAAACAAATGTTGGCAAATGAAACTCTTGAAATGATTGAATTTCTCTTTAGAAAAAAAATCTGATAATAATTAATTTAATTATTTAATTAATTCTTCATTAGTGTTTTCTATAGACAGATTTCCAGAATATACACATATATTAAATAAAACGAAAAATATAATAAAACTAATCGTAAAAACGAAATTCTTAACGCTGATTTTAGTAAATTGTCTTACTGGTAATTCCTATGTACACACACAATATAAACATATAACAAGACTTTCTTTTTACTTACTTCTTCTTCCAAAAGAATAGCCACAATAGTCTTGCAGCAAAAGTATAAACAAGAAAAAGTTATTAAGTTATTATAAAAGTATGTATCTCAATAAAAACATTAATCAATTTTAATTCCCTTCAATTAGTAAAACAAGAGAAAAATTCAATCATCTAAAAACTTGGTCAGTAATACCACGTTTTATGTGCTGATGAATTAATAAGTTCAAAATCGCGATATTGCTGATATTGTTCTTTACTAAAAGCATTATTTTATAGTCAAAAGTGCAAATCCTCAACAGCAATATTTATTTTATTTTATTGTTTTTTTATTTAGTCATATCTTGTGTATAATTTTTCTTTTCCTGCTATAAAGACAGTAGGTAGGTTTTAGTATACATATACATATGTATGTTTAAAAGGATTTTTGTAAATTTTATTTCTTAGAGATATTAGCTATTAACATATGAAAAATATTGGACTCACCATCCCTTTCATGGCCACTGGTAGTTGTTTGAGTTTGTTTGGTGTAGAGTACAGTTTCTTTTGGGGGAATATTTGTAGACTGAACAGATACGACACATAACTGAGGAACTCGTCTTTTCACAACATTTACACTAAAAATAAAGTATGTTTAATATGCAACTATATAGATACAAATTTATTATTTATAGAAATTCCAGGATTCTTACTTGTTGGGTAAACTGTTTGGTTGTAAGGATGTATCAGGGGTATGATTTCGACTAGTATCAGGTGTAAGAGAATTTGCACTAGAAATGCTAGATAATACATCAGAGACAGGTGCAACACCCAAAGATGTAAGCATTTCATCAAGTTCCTTCCTATCTCCACCCCCTCCAATTAATGTACGAGTGGTTGCTTCTTCGACATCTTTCAGTTCTTTTTCCCGTCTTCTTCTGTCTTTTTCTTCTCGTAGCGCCTGCAATTTCGCCTTTTTGCGTTCTAATTCAGCTCTCCGATCTGACATCATTGAAACTTCTCTGGAACGACAATACACAGGTTCGTTCTTAGTCACAAGTAAAATCAATGTCAATGTCAACACGATGGTCGTACAAAACTACACTATCTCAAGAAAATTATTAACAAACAATATTAAATCAAATTCCTTAAGACTATATAAGAAATACTTTCTTTTTTGTATTCAGTTAATGTACACCAACAAACATCCTGCACACTAATAGGTACATCCATACATGCAGTGTCATTTTGTAACATTATTTATGTTGTAAAGTTATAAGCTAAAATATAAAATACTTACTCTATTTAGACAAAAATATGAGTATTCCAAAAAGTTATTTCTTAAAAATATAAAAAAACTACCGGCTATAAAACATCACACTTTTACTACATTACAACGCCCGACAACACAGCCACCATTTTTAATACACTGGTGACGTAATATCAATATTCAATAATGTCCATATAATAATGTCACTATTGCCCTATTACTAATTTGTGATCGCCTATACCAGCAATTTTTTCAAATTATTGCAGTAGTAGTTGTTATCGCATTCATTACATTCTTCACACATTAAAATTTAAAATATTGTTAACCCCAATGCCGTGTAATTTTTTTAACGTTTATTATCTCTTACACGGTTCCGGCCAAGAAGTTCCGGTTTTCTTAAAACGTTCCAGCAACTCATCACTATATTCATTATATCAGTTACTGTCACGTTTTCATGATTTCTATAAATTTTGTTTCATGGTCGAAAAGTAGATAGTTTTAACAATTACAGTAATTGAGTGATATTTTATTCTTTTTAACGGATATTGTATGCCGAATCGACAGCTTTCACAGAAACAATTTTTCTATTATGAACTTAATATGGAGAGATGAAAGAAATTGATCTTCCATAAAATT